CACACACACACACACACACACACACACACACACACACACACACACACACACACACACACATATATACACAATGTGTGCAAAATCGAGATCCGACCTTCGAGGCGGCCGAAGGAAACGCTGCGACCCAGTCGAATTTCGCGCGCTAGGACGCAGGACGCGTGGATGATACGGCTCGTGCGATTCGCGGAGTCTGCGGGATCACGGAAGAATCAGCGCCCGGCACTTGTGCTATGGCGAGCAAGCGAGTAACACAGAGGAAAGACCGAGAGAAGCCAGATCGAACCTAAGGCCTACTAGAGGACTACCAGGGGGAGATGAACATCACACAATTGTAAGATCGCCAATTTCTGTTTCCGGGAGGCGCGCGTAATTATCGTTGTCATATTTGGTGTGCGAGAGGCACGCGGAATTGTCGTGCGTCAATCATTGTGATTTTTCGCGATATTTGTATCTGAGCGTGTCGCTCCTGCGACGATTTGTTATAGGATTTTCGGGAAAGTTACTTTCCGCGTCCGCCTAAACCACAGTCTAGTCATTCCGTTAAGTCTTGTCGCGTACCGATTGGTCTTGATTGTATCGGAACTTTGTATCATGATGTCTGCGTGTTCTCTGTCTATTTCCGATATTTTGTAAAGTAGTTTTCGAAGCCCCGCGGATGAGCATGAGGTCACGCCGTTTGCGATGTGATACCGTAACCATCTCGGTTATCAGAGCGTCGAGCTAATGCTCGACGTACGATTTGCGAAAAGTATTCTTATGTGGCATGAGCTCGTGCCATCGAGAGTTAGCATAATTAATACGCCCCGCGTAGAGCATATTGGGGCATATACGAGGCTAAAGTAATTTTGCCATTTTGATTGCATACCATTGTCGCGATTTTGTCAACAAGAATGAACGAGAATCAGAGATTAATCAAATATATTTGTTATTAGGTGTACAACTTTGCTTCCGCCGTTTTCCTATAGATGGCTTTAGCAGTAAGTGGTGGTCGAAATAAATAGATCATAGACGTCATACAATAAACTTGGGCATCTGTCAATATAATCCCATAGAAACATTAGTCGATTTGTGTCTGCATCATAAAGTTATTTCTCGATTGAAAATGTCAGTTTACGAGCCAAATTCTCGTCATTTGCGGGAGGTTTTAATTTTTTGCTTCAATAGGAAGAAATCTGCGGCTGAGGCTCATCGAATGCTCTCAAATACTTATGGTGAAGCTGCTATTAGTGAAAGAACGTGTCGTGAGGTTTCAACGCTTCAAGAACGGTGATTTTGACGTCCAAGATCATGCTCTCTATTTGGTGGGACCAGCTCGGCGTAGTGTATTATGAACTGTTAAAACCGACTGAAACAATCACAGGCGATCGATATCGAACGCAATTGATGCGTTTGAGCCGAGCATTGAAAGACAAACGGCCGCAACGAGAGACACGATAAAGTGATTTTGCAGCATGACAATGCTCGACCCCATGTTGCGAAAGTGGTCAAGAAATACTTGGAAATGGGAAGTTCTACCCCACCCGCCGTATTCTCCAGACGTTGCTCCCTCTGACTATCATTTGTTTCGATCAATGGCACACGGCCTGGCTGACCAGCACTTCCGGTCTTATGAAGAAGTAAAAAATTGGATCGATTCGTGGATAGACTCAAAAGATGACCAGTTTTTTTCGACGCGAGATTCGTACGCTACCCGAAAGATGGGAGAAAGTAGTGGCCAGCGATGGACAATACTTTGAATCATAAATGTATAACCAGTTTTTTACAATAAAGCCTCGAATTTCGGAAAAAAAACGGCGGAAGCAAAGTTGTACACCTAATACTTCTTACTGTTATTAATTATTGTGTTATTCATTGCCGTCGCCTTACTTGCTTCTCCCAACGATCCTCTATCGCGAATCGCTCTCTCTACTATTTTCGAAGTTGAGTTGCCGATTACGAGAGTCGTCGACGTTCGCAGTTCTGTAGAAAATCGCGTAGAGAATCTCCTGATTAATTTCGATAAAGAGTGACACGCTTATTCGTACCTGGCGCCCAACTACTCGTGAAACTATCGTTTTCGAGAGGATCATATAAGGATACGTTTTCGTGTTTCCGGTGAAATCAGACAAGATTCGTTATAAAGACGAGAATTCTGTCGAGTCGAGAGAGAATTAGCTACGAACGCTCGACGAAGTTGCGCCATGCTCATGAGTGCGGTTGCAATATATAAATAAATGCAAGGATATATGCAAATAAAAAATACTTTCCCATATTTGAGTAATTTATAAGAATATCATGAGACCTTCAAATTATGATTTTGAAGCTTACAAAAGAAATGGCTTGAGAAGTACGATTTGAGTGTACATAATCTCGCATTCATGTGATATATAGGATACATCTTAATCGACATCGCTCAAGTTCAGCATCCCCTTAAGCAAGTCTTTCAGTTTTTCATTATATTCGTATTAGATTACCATACAAAATTATAATCAGATGAATTTTTTTTCATATTAGATATTTTTTCATATTAGATATTTTTATATTAGATATAAAATCTACTTTTGCATGCTATCACATGAGGCTATCACTTGTTCTTTTAGTTGAACTTTTGTAGTTCATCTTTCTTCCTTTTCTTTTCAAGAGGAAAGAAAAAGAAGAAAGTTGAAACTTTGGCGCAAAAATTTAGCTAAAAAGAACAGCTTATGAACTAAAAGAACAGTTCATAATACATTTCACTATTTTATTGATCAAGTAGTGATACAAGAAAGAATTAAAATATTTTGCATATATAATATATTTTATAAGGTAGGAAATTGATGTAATTTTTTCCTTCTGTTATAATTCAATATGATTGTAGTAAAGAATCAAAAATTTAAATCCTTATCCTTTTTGTAATTTTAAGCTCTATATTGCTTTTTCAGGGTACATTAATATTATGGTTATGGTATGTGTATAAAAACGAGCCATTATTATTTTCTCAGAGGATGTGCTATGATCAATCCAAAATTTTTAGTTGGTCATGCCAGCATAAGAATGCTATTTCTCTGTTAACATGGCTCGTGATCATCCGATTAGGAGTATCAGCATGAAAAAAATTTTATAGGTGATTTAATGGCTGCGTCCAGCGGACTCAACAGTTGAGTAAGCGCTCGCTGTTATTGGTGTATTCTTTTAGATTATCCAATCAGTATTTTAGATCTGAACGCAGCCATTAAATTGTCATGTAAATGATTAATCTGTAAGCTATTATGAATTTTATAATTCATATAATAGTGTAATAATTCGTTATAATAGTGAGAAAGAGACTAGTTAAAAATACTTTGTATTAAGTATTTAAAGGGAGCTTTCTATCTTGTGATTGAATTCGAATAATCAAGTAACAGAAAAAATAAAATGAATAAATGAATTTCGTAACAAGAAATATTTCAGTTTTACAAGTTGAAAAATAAGAACAGAAATGATCGATTTTCGATTATTATATTACACCCAGAACCAACTTAAATTTGTAAAACCATCGTGTTTGATATCTTTCATCGAGACTGTTGGGTCTAATCTTCTAATATATATTTTACGTTGACCAATATCTTGTAATAATCTAAAATTATCGCCCAAAATTCCCTCGCCGTTTAAGAGTTTCCGGAACATGTTCATCTATGATGAAATAGATAAATAAATTCATAAATGTAGTATAATATATGAGTTTACATGTATGTTATAAATCACATAAATATATACAGAGTGAGTAAAAGTCCCGGACCGGTGAAACATGTCGAAAACTAAGCATTTCCGAAAGAAATGTTTCCTACAAAAGTTGTAGGATTTCAAATGATCTATTTACTGATCTATTTACTGATTTGGTTAATCTATCCTTGTTGTGCCGCCAAGGTCAGATCAAGCATCGATTTTTTTTAATGGCACACTTTATTTTTGATTCCAGAATCTAATAGCTGGTGTTAAGAACATTTTAAAACAATAAAGTTATTTTTCATAAAATACTTTCGAGTTATAAGGCTTGAAAGTTACCGCCGGCATTATGCAAAGTGTCTGACCGATGGCTAAAACTTCTTGAATGTTGTTCAGGATCATGTCCTGAACAATTCAAAAGATTTTATCATCGGTCAAACACTTTGCGTAATGCTAATGCCAATGATACTGTGTAATTTTCAAACCTTATAACTCGAAAAGTATTTTATAAAAATAATTTTATAGTAGTATTTGAAAAACTCTTGACACCAGCTATTATAGATTCTGGAATCAAAAATGTGTGCCATTTCAAAAAATCGATGTGATTTTGATCTGATCTTGGCGACGCAACAAGGTTAGATTAACCAAATCAATGAATAGATCATTTAAAACTCTATAACTTTTGTAAGGAAACATTTCTTTCGGAAATGCTTAGTTTTCAAGATATTTCACCAATCCTTTTTACTCACTCTATATAAGAGAGCGTCTATATAATATCTGATCCTTGTTGAAAGTGAATTATTTTAATTATTTGAAATAATAAAAAGATTGTATCATTGTTAAAAAGTTGTTTTAAAAAAGAGAGAAATGCTAAATATGTATGTATTTGTGCGTAATCGTAATAAAACATGATTAAAGTGTAAGTAACATACCTGACGAAAGGATATTGGAATTGGATTGGCGAAAATGTGCCAAGTGACTACTTCACAACAAGGCGGAGTTGTGAAAGATCCTTTGTATGTGTAAAAGACATCGGTGTTTGATGGTATTAGGGATGCTAGAGTGAGATATATATTGACCGATAACTCTGTATGTGCCCATTGCACATCAGGTAATTTACTTATAAACGGTTGAAGACGCTCGTTGTCTTCATCTTGTAACTGAAATTAAGCATGTAATTATACTTAGACATAATAGAATTTTATAGGCATAATAGAGCTTTCCTCGATTTCATGAATCTTTAAAATTAAATAAGTTTTTGATAGACTTTTATTTAATTTTTTATTTGTAATTCACAAAAATACTTAGATATATTATATTAATTCAGTGCTCGCAAAGATTTGCACATTTCGGGCTGATTCCCCACTATCGCTCGAAGCTCGGCCGTCGAGCTGATATAGCTTTATAATATATCGAGAAGTTTCTATATTGTCTTTATATAATTGTTTAACAACTCTTTTTTAAACAATTACATAAAGATAGTGTTACATATGCTAAGAGAACAAACAGTTAACAATTAATCGTTAATCAAGAATTTAAAATGATAAAATTATTCGCTTATAAAAGAAAAT